TAAAGATCACACTTGCTGTTTTATTATGACCTTCCATGTGTGAGCAAATGGCGTCTATTAAAATACACTCTAACCTGTCTAATTGGACATTACCTTTAGGCTATGAAGATACAAACGCCTATTTTACAAGAAAAGTGTCTTTTAAAAACTTTAGGGGCTCTATTTTGACGGTTCATGCGCAAAGTGCAGGGCGCAAATGCTTTCAGGGTGTGTCAGAATCCACTTTTGTTAATGGATGGAAAAATCCGCTTTGCGCTGTGGCGCATGGTCTAAAAGTGTTGGATTTTTTTTCTTAATGAGTTATAGGTGTGTTTTGAGAATAAACCAATCAGAGTCTCTTCTCATATTCCCTCTAACACCCAGTTGCGTCGCATCGCATAATCTATTTCACTTTCACTCTCATGGATAGGGAAACCTTGTATGCACAGACATCAATTCGCCTATATATATATATATATATATATATATATATATATATATATATATATCCTTAATATTTTATTTCTTTTTCATATATAAAGATATTTGCATATTGCTCTACATCTTGTGTGTATTAAGCAGTGTGTAAGCTAGGCACACTCTGCGGCAGACAATAGACCGGCTTTGTTCTGGTTTAAAGAACAGACTATTATAGTTTCTCAAAACAGCAACGCAGCAAAAAACGCCTGCTTTTTTAGACCAGAATGCCTATGGGCGCACATATGAGCGCATATGCATTTGCTTTTTAAACACCGTGGCGCAAAATGTCAAAACAACCCTTGTGCCGAGCTGAAACTAGCAAACAACAATTGCGTTGCCTCTTGCGCCACATTTCGCCGGATGTATGATAGGGCCCAATTTGTCTATTGTTTGGCTCGATATGCCACTTTCAGACTGACTGAATATTGAAATTACTGAATATTTTTCTCCCTGCTAAGTGCAATCATGCATTGACAATGATATGAACCATTACTGAGGCAGTCAAGGGTGGACTATTACTTCTATTAATATTATTTAAGGGACAGATCAGTGCAGGCTAGTTTTCACTATTTATAGGGCACATGTTGTTTTTTTACGTTCTTCACGGGTGATCAAGCGTTAAACCAACCCTGTTTTTACTGTTTCACTTTTACCTTGTAAGGATGAAAAAAATAAAAACAGTTCTGAATAGTAGTGTACATGCGCATGCACTAAAGCTAATTAAAGTTACAGTACACAATTTAACATTTCAACATTGTAACAGTATTATTAATTGTACTATGTTTTCAGGGGTGTAAAGTAACAAATTACAAATACTTAAACTACTGTAACTGAGTAGTTTTTCCTCAGAAATTGTAATTAACTAAGTAGTTTTAAAAAAGTGTACTTTCTCTTGAGTACATTTTTTGTGAAGTTTCAATACTTTTCCTCTTCTACTTTCCTTTAACCTGCAGTCAATACTTTATTTTTTCTTATCTGTTAAAATTAGAAAAATTAGTCCTGTGATTCCTGTCCAATCAAATCACACATAGAAAATAAATCGCATTATAATGAACTACCTCAAGACATGGGCAATTTATGATTGCAGCAAACTGTTTGGAAGCATTAAATGTGTCCAAGAAGATGTCCAAAATCTTTACACACATTGACCCAGAGACAGTTTAGATGCATGTCACTGAGATGACGGATGTTTACTGTATGATGACCGAAATGGCCCTAACCACCCAGCAGGCACAGGATGTCAACATGACATCAGATTGACGTTGTACTCCAACCTCCTGGGAATGTTGCATTTTGTTTGGAAATGAAAATGTCAGAACCATAGACTGTAAAAGATATGGACGTAGTATCCGTGACGTCACCCATAGGTTTCTTATGAATGCAAAAGAAGCTACAAGTAGGCCTTGCCAACTGTCGCTATTTTGTTCGAGTGTCATCACTCTGACCCGGGGATACCAAACAAGGGCAAAGAGGCAGAGCGTAAGCGGAGCTACAGCCGCCTGCTAGCATTTTGCTTGGACAGGCTTTTCTTTGGCAGAAACGCTTAATACTTTATTACCTGTGACTTGTTTGTGTTCTGACCACATATGCTTGGTTGTATACTATAGCAATAAGGTGTTTAGTCTTTTAAAAATGTTTTAATACATTGAGCCACTAAGAATTGTTCTGATGATGTTTTTCTACAGAAAGACACTACAAACACTTAAAGACAAACACTTAAAATATAGTTTAAGTTAGTAAATATCAGGCTATTTATGAAATCCAGACATAACTCTGTATGGCAGTGTTTCAGATGATTGTTCTTTAGCCTACAGCTAATCAATCTGTCAGATTCTGGAGTGCATACAATTTCTAATGAAAATTTAAAATTAGAAATGATCCTAAATAAAACAAATACATTTATAGATTTGGTTTATATGTATATAATTTTACTCACCTGGGAAATAGAGGCCACGTGAATGGTGAATGGCACAATTAAGTGCACACAGCATGTAAAATCATCTGATAATTGTAGGAAATAAAGTTCCAAATTTGAAAATCCATAATTGTTCCAAAAAGCAATTGACTGTGTAAAGCCACATAAAACAAAACAAAAATACGATCTATTTGCAGAGTTTACTGACTAATCAGCTGGAATCAGCTGAGGTCAAGTGAGGGCGAGCGAGACCTAGCTGTCACTTAAATGGCCCCGCCCTTAATTATGCAGACTTAATATAGCTTAATATAAACGAAACAGGTGAGTTATAAAAAAATCACCCCCGTCAAGAAAGGTAATATTAGCTATATGAACCAAAATTTTTTGTACCAGGCTTTGAACACCTTTTTTTCTGCTGTAAAGTTGGTCATTTTACCAGTGGGCTTAATAGAAATCTGCTCTATTATAGAGCCAGGACTAGCGGAATTTCCGGTAATTGCAGTTTAAATTACTTCCATATTTGCTTCACGAGGGAAAGTGGGAGATTGCCGCTTGGTCAGAACCCAACGTCAGGCAGACGTTAATGTCCCACGTCCAAACTAAAATCAACCAAATATCAACATGATATTAAAAGTTGATGTTGTGGGGACTATGACAGCTATCAGATGTTGGATTGTATTTGCCATACCTGACAAATAAAAGTCAGTATTTGACGTCAATATGACGTTGGTTTAAGATGTTGGCTCAACGTTGAATTTTGGTCACTTTCTAAAACAGCCTAAAATTAACCCAATATCAAGGTCATTTGACGTCATTATTGGACATCAACATAACGTTGCCCTTAAACGCTGGCTAGACATTGAATTTTGGTGACATCACAACCTAAATCGAACCTAAAATTAACATCTTATGACGTTGTGTGCCTGCTGGGCAATAACTCAATTAAATTGCACTACAGAATGTTATGTTTACACACATCCACAAATAGCATGTAAAGGCATCAGCTTTTTTACAGTGTGATACTCACTACTTACTACCTTTGAGTGCTTTTGAAAAGGTTACATTTACTCATACTTTGAGTAATATTTACAACAAAACCTTTAACTCTACTTGCACTACACTTTTAGGCCAGTAAAGGTACTTTCACTTAAATTTGATTTTCAGTGCTCTTTCCACCACTTTATTTACTGAAATTCCATCATGACAGTTACAAAGTTTTCAGTCTTTCTAAACTGAAGTAGATAAGAAATGTATGGCTGTTACCTAAACAGAGAAAAACTTACAGTGTGCGTAACCAAGATTAGACCGCCCAATGACCTGAATATTTTCATAAAATATTAATTCAGAAATCACATTACACAAGTATAACGAGCTGCGAGTAACAATCATCGTCGGATTTATAGGTGCATGGATGTGTTGTTAGCATTTTAAGATTTTTAAGTACTTCCTAACTAAAGTTAATCTTAAATTGTACATAGTGAAGCTGGAGTTTGCTGCGGGTCAAGCGTCATGAGCACAGCTGCGCATCAGACTAATGGATGAAATTCCCTCTAACACATTGTGCTTGGTCTGGCTTTGCTCTGCGGCTGAGGCGATGTGCTAATATAAATAGTCGAGAAGCTCACCTGCACATGCTTCGAAAACCTGCAAGAAGACTGATGACTTCCTCTCTGGCTACTGTACAGCGCCTCCATCAATCTCCCCTCAGCCACACTGGGTTCATCTCAGGGTGGAGAAGAAGAGAAGAGGCTGAGGGGGGGAGAAGATAGACAGTTTGACACTCCCAGCACCTTTCTCATACTGTAGTTATAATCGCAGACGGCTCGGCGGTCAAAAGTTCAGTGGTGTCTGGAGACAGTGAGGGGAGAAGCGCAGGGGAAATAAACTGTCTGGACAGATTCCCCGGACGCTCTCTCATTCAGGGTGAGAAGAACAAAAAATAACAGCATCTGCTGTGTGTAGTTTAGTTTGTCTGAACCTCATCTGCCCGAGCTCGCAAAGCCACAGTTGCTGTGGATGGAGAGTATGGTGTGAAGTTGAGCAGCGGAGACTGTACTGTCAAGGTTTTTGATACCTAGAAATGTTTTTTTTCTTCTTCTTCTTCTTCTTCAACAAAATGCCTAAGGAAATTATTCCATTTGATTGTTGTTTCAGGGCCTGTTTACACCTAGTCACTACTCAGATTAAATAATGGTTTGATTTGTGAAAATGTTTACATTTGGCCATATAAATGTGTCTTCGCTAAAGGTTTAGCCCAGTAGAGTTTCATATAAAGAACTTTGTATTTCTGTCAACTTTCATTTGGTAATATTTTGGTTTGTTGCATCACGGTGGCGCAGTGGTTAGCACGATCACCTTTCAGCAGCAAGAAGGTCCCTGTTTGAGCCCCGACTGGGTCAGTTGGCATATCTGTGTGGCGTTTGCATGTTCTCCTCTGCATTTGCGTGGGTTTCCTCCGGGTGCTCCGGTTCCCCATCCCCTACATATATGTGCCAATTAGTTGCTTGCTGCAGTTCACCTAACGACCACTATTAAAACATTGTTCTTTTTGTTTGAGCATCCTGACCTGCTCTACTCAGCAACACTGGCTCAAGCGATTGAATTGATTTTCTATTTTGAATTCCAGGTGGCTTTGCTTGTGGACGTTCCACCTTACCGGAACCAAAGAATATCCAACCCTGTTCAAGTGAATTTCTATGTGTGCAATGGAAAGCGGAAGAGAAGCCAGTACCAGCGTTTCACATACCTGCCCACAAATGGTAAAAATTGCCTGTTTTTGCCTGCTTTTAAATTGCACACACTTTTTTCCCTCAGTCTGTAATGGTATTAATTCAGTAACCTTTTCGGTGGATGGAATTGTGGCTGTTTTTTGTGTACATTTTTTTTCTTTGTTAAAAGCATTTCCATAAAATTTGTTCTTTTCCATACCTGCTCTGAAAGCAGTGTAAGGGCAGTGACAGGGTGGGGTCCAGTTTGTGAATGCTATTATTCAAATCCAGACTGGTTGCCAGGTGAAATGAAAAAAAAAAAAAATGGCTTGACTTCTGAAAAGGCCTTACCACCGCTAATTCCCTCGGGCCCAGTGTGCGTAACCAGTGGGTGGTTCAAAGGCTTGAGTCAGACCCAGCTTGTCCCGGCCCTGTCTCCTGAAGTGTGGGCACTGCAAATGCATGCCGTGCCACTCAAACTGCAGTCCTGTCTTATTTGTTACATGAACAATGCAACAATGACACGTGCAATCTGTCCAGCTGTTGGCCACTAAAATATTCATATTTATTTATTTTAGATATAGAAGATTTTATATTATAACCATTATTAGTGTTAATATTAGTATTATTAATATTTATGTGCAGAGTCATATACTTGCACATAAGTTTTATGTTTATTAGCTTTATTATTATTGTTGTTGTTGTTGTTGTTGTTATTAATATTAAGACCACTGGCCTCTAAAATAAGCATCTTTATTTATTTATTTATTTATTTATTTATTTATTTATTCATTCATTTATTTATTTATTTTAGATTTAGAACATAACCCTTTATATAATAACCATTACTGGTTTTATTATTAGTATTATTATTATTTATGCGCAGAGTCACATACTTGCAAATCAATTTTACATGTATATTAGCTTTATTATTACTATTATTATTAATTATTATTATTTATTATTATTATCATTACTATTATTATTAATATTATTAATGTCACTGGGCTCTAAAATAATCATATTTCTTTCTTTATATATTTATTTATTTATTTATTTTAAATCTAAAAGATAACCCTTTATATAATAACCGCATTTAGTGTTATTATTATTATTAATATTTATGCGCAGTCACATACTTGCACATCAATTTTACATGTATATTAGCGTTATTATTATTATTATTATTATTATTATTATTACTATTATTATTACTATTATTATTATTTTATAGGACCACAGACCTATAAAATTATCATCTTTATTTATTTATTTATTTATTTATTTATTTATTTATTTATTTATTTATTTATTCTTGTAGATTATGAAGTCCACACATTATATAATAATCTATGTCTGAGTTTTTATTGGTATTAGCAATAATAATTAGAATAATTAATATGTGAAATATTATTAATATTATTTATCATTTTTCCTGTTTTTATAATAGAGTAAATATAATTAAATGTTTTGAGAGAGAGAGAGAGAGAGAGAGAGAGAGAGAGAGAGAATTTGAATAAGACAATATAATAACAAGATAATTGTGTCTATTATTTATCATGATCAGGAAATTTGGAGAGAGTCTTTTATCTATTTTCAAGATAAATCATAAGCCTAGAACCGTACACGGAATGACATGTGGATTTTAATGAGCGTGAGTCTTTAAGCTTCAGAGGTAGGAGTTAAAAATCTGAATCATCTAAGATGGATGGTTTTTGAGGTTTACGTGAGGCAGAGTGACAGATATCTGACTGCCTGTACAGTCATGTGCTAGAAGCCTCATTTCCCCTTTCAGGGCTTAAAATAGGTGTCTAGGCTCTATTTTAAAACTGTGGTCAATTTGGGCGGCACAGAGAGTTCCCCTTTTCTATGTATTGTTGACAGAATTCAAAATAAAACTTCGGGGGTTCTGCGGAGGCATGTTGCTGTGAGGCATGTCTCATCTGCGCAGAAAAATAAACCGCCGCTGACAGACTGTTGAGAAATGCAGCCAGAAGTTAAAAGGTGAAAAATGTAAAGTCATGAGGATAAAGAGTTTGTCAACAACAGATCCACTTCTTCCCAGTAGCTCAACATCTGTTCCCCAGATTCAAATAAAGCAAAATAAAAAATAATAAAAAATAGGTAGTTTTTATTTTGTAGTTTAATGTAGTCGTGCAATTAGCTGACTCTGACTTAGCTGACTCGTGCAATTAGCTGACTTTTAGTAGTTAGGTTTGTCTATAGTGTATCCACATTTGGGGTGAAACATCAGTATTTCAAGAACACAAATTAACTAAAAATTAATATTTTGTTGCACTCTAAAACCCGAAAAGTTAAGCTAACTAAAACCGTTTAAGGAAACCAATAGCATCAAGCTATTTAAGTATTTTAAGTTTAACGAGTACTGTGAACTTACTCCATTTGAGTAAACGAAGCAATTTGAGCACAGTAAAACCCAATAAATAAAGAGAACTTGAACCAACTGTGTACTGTAAAACCCAATAAGTTAAGGCAACTCAAACCATTTAAGGAAACTGATTGCAACAAACCATTTGAGTTAAAAAAAACTAATCTATATGAGTACTGTGAACTTACTCCACTACAGTTGAAGTAATGAGGTATTTAATTACCTCATTACCTTCAATGCTGTTTAAAACTCAATTCAAATGAGTAGAATTAGCTTTCGATAAATTTTGAGTTAACTGCACTCATTTAATTTGATAAAGTTGACTGTTATGGATTGAAACAGGATGTTTAGACATGATATAAGCAAGGACTTGTCCCTTTTTTAAGCAATGGGGTTGTTTACTCTTTACATCACAGCTTTGATTTGCTAATTTGTCAGTTACACAATCTGCTTGGCCATATTTTTGTACAGTTACTATTTAAAAAAATAAAATAAATAATAATAATCTGGTGAAACTTTGATAGATATATGCTATATAAGACCCAAGGCCATAACACACCGAAGTGATGTCAAAGAACTAGCCCAATCAAAAGCCCATTGTGTGGTCCTAAAATGGACTAGCATGTAATTAGCTATCCTTATTTACAAGTTAAACAATCTATCTTCCTAATTCAAATAGAGAAACCAAAACTAAATATAAACATATATAAACAAAGCAGTGCTTGCTTAACATTTTGAATATGTATACTTAAAGAGATGATACAATCAAAACTGAAAATTCTGTCATCAAAGAAGATATTTTGAAGAAAGCTTAGAAACCTGTAACCATTGACGTTCATAGTTTTGTTTTTGTTTTTAGTCAATGGTTTCAGGTTTTCATATTTGTACATAATATTCTATTTTGTGTTCAACAAAAGCACGAAACTTTTATAGGTTTAGATCCACTTGAGTGTATTCATTTTGGGGTGGGCACGTTAAAGATTGTGATTGCAAAATACCAACACAGGCTCATTCTGAAAACGTAGCCCTATATACATTTCTGGAGATTGCAGATTATGTAGCCAGAAGTATGTAAGGCTGCATTACGTCTTTAAAACGAATGCTACAGATCGGTATGACACTGTTCCTTTTCGCGCTTACCAGCAGACTGCTTACTTCCGTATAGCCGGCTTTCTCACTGTAACCAATTTGTCCAGTTATCTTGCCATGTACGTCGTCGGACTTGAGACGCAGAGAGGAGTTGACCATGACGATGTGGTTCAAGTCTGGTGCAGAACAGTTACAGAATATGGGTAAGACAAAAACAAAAGCCAAAAAATTAAATAAACATAAATAACATGTTAAAAATGTGGTAAAAATATGCATGTTAAAAATTAGGCAAGGGCTTTTCTTTTTCTGGATTGCTTATGAAAACACTGTTGGTTGGGTTTAGGGAAGTGGGTGGGCCGGTCAATCGGTGTATTTGAAAACTATTGGTTGGGTATAGGGAAGGAGAAGGGGGATCAATCAGTCATTTAGTGAGTCATTCAATCAGTCGACAGTGGCCTCTGGTGGATTTACGTGAGAAGAGCAGGTGCAAATGACAGTTGCAAGACAAATTTGAGATCTCAAATACCATACATAGTGGCCTCTGGTGGATTTGCGAAAACAAATATTGCTGTTTTAGACGTTTTTAGGATGAGCCTGGTTTGTGAAATTGTGGATTAGTAGACTTTAGTGAAGGTTTTAAGTCAGTGGTATACTAGGTGATCTGAAGCCCCGCCCTTTCATGGACGTGTACAGGAAGGACATTACATTACATATCTGTAATGTAAAACAAAATGAACCCTAAATAAAGTATTTCGGATTTGCAAAAATGCGAGAAAAAAATATGAGCCTGGACTGGACTTCTTTGCTTGCTTTCTACAATTTCACTTGCTTTTTTAAAATAAACATCCAATCAAAATGACGTTTCTGTCACAGATCCATCATACTGAGCAAACAGTACTAGAGTCAATGTGCAGAACGCAAAAACTAGCACAAAAGATGTTCACTGATGGCCTGTCTGTCAGCTTGGTGTGTCATGGTACTAAAAGGCATGAACTATATTCTAAAATACTTTAAAGACATAAAGTTCCTTTTGCTACTGTGAATGTTAAAAATGGGCAGCCCCACAGTTCGTTTGAACTCTGTGAACTCAATATGTAGAATCTGCAGATCTGTTTCTAATCCAGTCTCATTCCAGTTCATAGCCCACTTGCAATTTGGCTGTTTTAAACCTGAGATCCCATCTCAAAAATGACACTCTGAATCTTCTACTTAGAGAAACTCTTTTCTTTCTTTTTTCTTTTTTTTTTTGGTCATGGATGTGAGGCTACTGTAGCAGTAAAATATTTCATAATGCACGCTTATATGGTATTAGCACTGGGGGCAGATCCAAAAAAAATAACCCTTTTATTTTCTAAAGCAGCTGGAAGGCTCTTGTGGTGATGATTCATCTCTTTTTTTCCCTCTTTCTTTAAATATTTTCAGTTGGGCGGGAGCGCGTAGCCTCAGACACATAGTCTCATTGATGAGAATGTTTGTTTCGCTGTGGGTATCCTAGCCACAAACCCACTCACTCGCGCTAGCTCGCATAAAGTCACATGAATCCGGAACGTGTGTTTATTCGTTTTTCTCCCCGTTTCCTTCATCTGATCTTTCTCTCTGCTCTCTTTCCCCTTCGCCTCCCCAGTTCCAACCATAAAAACAGAGCCGCACGATGACTACGACCTCCCCCAGGTATGTGCGCCTCTTCATCCGGCCAGGTTGGCCCTGCATCCGAAGCCTTACTACAGCCCTCCGTCCATGACCCCCTTGATGCCCACAGAACTAGGACCATGTGTGACAGGGCCATTCACATCGAGTCCTCAGAGACTGGTGGCAAAACCCATTTCCCTATCCTGCTCATCATCCCCAAGCACCAGCCCCAAACTACAAGATCTCTCCCCGCCTCACCTTTCCACCAAGTGCCTATCAGCGGGATCAAACCTGGGCCCCCAGTCTCCTACAGTCCCCCACGTTTCCACCATCCAACCAACACCTGGACGCTACCAACAATCCATCCTCTACCCAACAGGAAGCAACGCATCTTCTCCAGGGTCCCATCCGTCCACTCCAAATTCTGCACCAGATCTCCCCTTCACTCCCAGTCTGACCCAACCACAGGCCACCAACGAGGCCTCAGCATTAACGGCTCAGATAACCAAAGGACCTGTGAGGAGCGGTTCCTCCCCGCTCCTACAGAAGGAGGCGGACCCCCCCTCCATGCTAGCTATCAGCATCAAGCAGGAACCGCAGGAACTGGATCAAATGTACCTAGATGATGGTAAGTGACAGCGCAATTGAGTAACCGTGTGCATCGTAGCCTGGTGATGTAATGCCCGACAGATGTTTCTAATTGCTTGGTGTTTTTGCCTGAGTGCTCCCTCACAAAATTAAGATCCAATGCAGTGCTAAACTGTACCGCCACAACGACAGTGGCCCCGTTCCATGATCTTTAATATATCGAGAAAGCAAGTTAAATTAACTGGAAAGCTAATGAATGACTTCATCGCTTTCTCTTCAGCTTTTGTGTTAAATTTTAAGCATCTGAGAAAGAAACGTTTACCAGATGGAGAATTTTAATATTAGATTTGTCTATTAAGCCATAAAAGCTAATAGATAATGTTTTTCTGGTCATAGCCAGACATTTGACAGTATTCACAACACAGCTTATTCCAGCCCAAAACCGCTGACCTGGACCAAAACAGACTGTTTGATTGACATGTAAAAGTGAATAGTTTTTAATAGTTATTGAGGGATGAAGTTAGCAGAAATAGACTTAATCTAAAAATAATAGGCCACTAGGAATAAATATTTAATAAAAAAATTAAGTAAATAAAAACTTATAGTGGTGCAAGAAGGTCGCTGGGTCTGAGTTTGCATGTGCACATTGTGTTGGCATGGGTTTCCTCCGGGTGCTCCGGTTTCCCCAACATGTTCAAAGACATGCGGTATAGGTGAATTGGGTAAGCTAAAATTGTCTGTAGTGTATGTGTAAATGAGAGTGTATGGGTGTTTCCCAGTGATGGGTTGCAGCTGGAAGGGCATCCGCTGCATAAAACATATGCTGGGTAAGTTGACCGTTCATTCTGCTGTGGCGACCCTTGATTAATATAGGGACTAAACTGAAAAGAAAATGAATGAACAAATGAATAAATTCTTAAGCTTGTCTTAAGCTTGTTCAGTGAAGCATGGTGGAAATGTACGTATGAAGAGTTCAGATGCAAAAACCTTTAAGTGCTATCTAAAATTCTCTTCTAAAACTAGCATTTTCCTAAGGTTCCTAGGTGTAGGTTGACTAATTTTATTTATTGACAGAATATGTTATATTTATTGCCTTTAAGGTGAAATGACTGAACATAAAAATAAGGCGGCTGAGTAAACATTCTATTTTTAGAAGAAAATTTTCAGATAGTGACTAGAGGTTTTTGCATCTGAACTCTTCATATGCTCTCGCAAACGTTTTCTTTATCAGAAAGTATGTTTGGAACACAAGTTATAAGAGTTCAAAAGTTTAAGGTCTTTAAAATGTTTAAGTGTTTTAAACATTTTTATGCTTACTAAAGCTGGTATTTGATATTATAAAACATTATTACAATTTAAAGTTATATTAATCATCTGAGTACTTTGGACTACTTTTTGTAAACAGAATGTAACTTATAACAGGAAAAATACCACACTAAATACATGGCACCCAACTTTTTGCATACTTATATTTGCTTATGCTTAAATACTTATTTAACTTATATTTAACCTGGAAATTCATTGAATATTTAATCTTTTTCTGACTGAAAAAGTCTGACTGATTAAAAAAATGCTGTGTGTGACTCCGGGAAGCGGTGGAAATTCAGCCAATCAGATTAAAGCTTGCCAAGAAGGTACCGTCCAGTTTTACTGGCTTTGGCCATTCTGTTGGTGTGTCGATGCTAAGACTAATGGCTCTCAACTGTATCCCCAGAGACCCAAGCCTTAGTGGTAACGAAAAGATCTGCTGAAACATCACATGGTGTTTAAACCCGAACAGGAGGTCACTTTTCAGTGCTGCCTTCAGCTCGTATTGTGTTGATATTTAAATAGTCTGACCACCGTCCACCCCACAGCTTTTCAACACTATAGAACATGTGACAGGCCATCAGACCATGGCTTAATCCTCCAAGGTTTTTCTAGGTTTCCTTTGTAGATGCATATGTTGCAATTCTATATGCTAATTTAGTGAAGGAAATCATCTCAAATCACTCCTTAGACATCAAGCCAAAGATTCAACTTCCTACCTTAGGAGTTTAAGAAGATGTTGGATAGCAGATTACAGATGCCACAGTGGTTTTCTTTAGCTTCCAGAAGCGGCTTAAGTCTTCATGCATTCAAGCAGTTGAAATATAGTCAATACCACTCAAACTAAGCGGAAACATGGACGAGTGCATGGAGTGAGAGCGGGATTTTTTTATGGGTTTTCTTGTCAAAATTATTACCTGTCATTTCTCCTCTGGCAAAATATAACACGTTTTTAGCAAGCACTAACACGGCTCTCTGTGTCATTATGAGCTGGGATTGCATTTCTTCTAGATTGCAGCTTTAATAGACTCTGTCAGGTGTGGCATTCTTTGAGCTTGTCATTAATTTGGTTCGAAACAGAAGCACAAAACCGTTGTCCATCATGCGCGGCTGTCAGCGCATCTAGTACTGAGGTTTTCTCAGGCTTTAGTTGCATTGTTATCATTGAAGATACTTCTTAGTTCTTATTATATACTTGAATAAGCTGTCGGGTTTGATGAAAGTACTTTGAAACTCCACAACCAAACCCTTATCCAATACTTCAGTCTTCATTTACTGCTCACTGTTTCCTCTGATACGCTCCTTCTGTTGTTTTCCTCCACTTCTTTGAGGAGGGGTTACAAACCCTTTTACTCATGGAAACTCTTACAAAAGCTGGCTGCGAGCCTGGCTCCTGGCCTTCACCAGCCGTAAGCTTTGAGGGGCCTCACTGCAATAAAGCACACTGACTTGGCCACTGCCGACGCAAGCCTGTGGCTTGAACGCTGCCAGGAAACGCAATCCAGCTCAGGCCGAGCCAAAGCAGTAGATCCTGCAGTATAGGAGTGGGTCACTACTGGAAGCACTCCACACCACGTGACCCCAGAGCTGGGTTCCCCATAAGAAACCACAACAAACTTTCCAATTTAGCTTGTGGGGCTGTTAAGAAATGCATGTAGGAGTTAGGGGCTGAACATTCAGCAAGTACAGGGAAGACTTGCGAAATATATTATGACAAATTTGGAATAATCGTGTTGCTTAATCAACATAGCGTTTTTTTATGACTAAACAGTGTTTCCCAGAAAGTGAATGGTCTTTCTTATAGGGGACCTATTATAAAGACGATAACCGTTTTTAAGATATACTGTGGTTTAAAAAAAGTCATGGTTTTAAAACTGCCAAAATATACTGCTATACCATTCCTAAGGTATATGTAATGTTTGTTTTTTTTTAGGTCACACAGTCTGTTTGTTACATTGCATCTACACGTCACGTCACGGACCAGGCATGAGTTTCTGCAGATTTTGTATGATTTGGACATTTAGACATGAAGCTAAATGCACAGTCTTTGCATTCTCAGTCTAACAGAATGCCCGAGCATACTGCCCGAGAGGTGCTTCAAAGATGGCCACTGAGTGAAATGACTTGCTTTAAAGGGACTTTGGTTCGGGTTAGGGTGTAAGTTGACATGTACTTGCAAAGCATCTTATAGTCAGTTAAATGTCTGATGAAGGAGCAGTACCAACACTATTAAGCAGAAAGTCTACTAATACTCAAATGGACCATCAAAATAAAGTGTTACCTTTTTTATCCTTTGCTTTAAGTTTTTTTAGGACAACAGTATTTTAGCAAAAAAAAGATATCCAGGATACTTTTTTCAATTGTAAGGAAATCTCTGTTTTGGAACCTAATGAAGACAGCAGAAGTCAATGATTCATTTGAATTATTTAGCCTCACATGTTTACTGCTCCAAAATATTTTAAGCGTTATTCAAAATAGAATATATTGTGTTCAAAGGGGAAGTAGTTTTTTGTTTTTAACCACACATTTAAAAAAGAACATGTTTTAGAGCAAGGTGTCACGGTAGTGCAGTGGGTATCACGATCGCCTAACAGCAAGAAGGTCACTTGTTCGAGCCCCAGCTGGATCAGTTGGCATTTCTGTGTGGAGTTTGCATGTTCTCCCCTTGTTCACATGGGTTTCCTCTGGGTGCTCTGGTTTCCCCCACAGTCCAAAGACATGTGGTACTGGTTGTAGTGTATGTGTGTGTGATTGCAAGAGTGCATGGGTGTTTCCCAGTGTTGGGTTACAGCTGGAAAGGGCATCCACTGTTCTAAACAAATAGTGGATAAGTTGGTGGTTCATTCCGCTGTGGCCACCCCTGATGAATAAAGCGACTGGACCGAAATAAAAATGAATGAATGATTTTTAGAGCAGTAATTATAATACCTTGAATCCTGTGAAACCGTGAAACGGCTTCAAATCCAAGATTATCATACAGTCATAATCTTATACCAGCCCATTCCTGACCTATTATGCCTCTTTTTATAAGATGTAAAATAAGTATCTGTTGTCTCTTGAGTGTTTTTGCGAACTTTTAGGTCAATATGCACTGCATATCATTGTTCATAGCTCTTTGTAATGGCGACTTTTAGGAATTGATCCAAAACTTGCAATTTCTGTGTTTGTTGCTTTAAATTTAAATATTTTTAGTAGAGGGCGGAGCAAAAAATACCTATGCAGATTCTAATCAGGGCTGTGTCTATGCAAATGAATGATGGCATACTTTTGACTAATGGGTGGGAACTGCCCCCATCTTATGATGTGAACTATGAGAGAATCTCTATCAACATGATTCTGCATGTTTTTGTGAAGTGTGATTGTAAAAAATACAATATTTAGATTTTTACAATTATAGGCTTGCTATATTATCACACTGTAGCCACAACTTTGTTCAAACTCCTTAAAAAATTATGTAGTAAGTCTCCTTTAGGAAATTGTCTGCATGGCATTTGAAAACTGTATGGTTTTATTTTGTTTAAGTTACAACAACATTGGACCACACTGATATTAAATATATGGTCCAAAATTAAATTAGAACTGTTAGAAATATATTTTGTTGTGTTACACAAAAGTAAGTTCCAGAGTTTTTATATTTAGGTGCACTGTCATTTTATGTAATTTAATCAACCCTCTTACAGAAAAAGCTACATGAGCCTAACATGATCCTCAAATGACCTTCCAGGGCAGGGA